AACGATCGAAGATCAGGGACGCTGCCGTTTTCGCCAAGGAATCGAAGATAAGGTGGGCCGGACACGTCATGCGATTTTGCGATGACCGTTGGACCAGAGCGGTTACCGACTGGATCCCTCGGGACGTCAAACGAACACCTGGACGACCGCCGGCCCGATGGTCAGACTTCTTCACGAAAGCTCTGAACGAAAGGAATGAAGGACTTCGTGTCCCTCGAGCGAGGAGGGTCCACTGGACAACTCTTGCACGCGACAGGGACGAATGGAGACGTTGCTGGCGCCCGCTCGAGCAATTCGATGATCAACGGGACGACAGGTGACAGGTGATACAGGTGATTCCGTTATTGTCCACCATGAAGTCGCCATGTCTGTTCACGTTTTCGATTTTCCGCTAATCTCACGGTAAATCAGTTCTTGGGGAGTTCCTTTTGGGTCCTGAAAAATTTCCAGTTTTCGTAGCTGTCGACTGGTTTTCTGCCGTGTCAACAATGGATTACTATCACCAACGTTTACTATTATTACTATGTTGTTACTGGAATCAACGAAAGCACTAGCAAACACGACATATTGATTTCGTAAGACTGATAACAGTTGCAACATCCGTGATGGTCCGACCACCCCTCAACCGATGTCATTCTGCCATTTTTTCGGCCCGAAGTACTCCTTGTTCTGTAGGCAGTCAGTTGCAAGAGACAATAACCTGAGATCGTTAAGATATTGAGGTCTTCCGCCGAGGGTTTGGCGCATGGGTCGCTCTAATTCCTGTGATCGGACGGGCCATTATTTGTCGTTCGTCGCGGACTCAATTTTCCCAGTTGTTTTGGCGAAATTGCCTTTTATCAGCACACCGCTCTTATCTGTCGGTTCCGCGAAAATGACTACTCCGCCTGACACGAATTTGACCCACGAGCTGTTTTTCCCACAGAAATCGTTCTCTCAACGGGAAACACCCGTGCAAAAGAACTCTCGCGTGGGTTCTCGTTGCCTCTCTTACCTCCGCCTGCTGCAATCATTTTTCGAAACAACACTCGACCGATGAGCCCACCCGCCTATCGCGGACGATTCGGCTCCTGTTCGATCAAGCAACTTCACAAGCACAGAAATACATGGCAGTGATCTTGTTTAGGTTCCTTCTCGCACAACGTACGCAAACGTCCTGAACTCGCGCAAACGTCCTGAACTCTTCAGCTTTCGCGAGTAGCTAGAGCCTGAAGACTTCCAGCACTTTGTATTGCCGCACGGCCCCACCCATTGCGAGTCCCTTTTGAAGGCAACCTTTGGGCCTGAACCAGGGTCAACCCTACGTTGTTACGAGTAACAACGGGGGGGTCGTACCTGGTTGAGTTTGTAGGAGGGGGGGTCGTACCCACTTTAGTCGCTCGAAATCACGTGTGGGATTGAGGTGAAACTAAGATTTCGTGGGTAGTAGGCTGGCGAGTGGAGGGCGCGCAAGATAAAAATTTGCCGTTTCAGCCGGCGTATATACCCCCCTAGAAAAGGAACAGTGGGATTATAGGTAGAAATGGGGTAAATTGGTTGAAATTTAGGGAATTTTGGTAAATTTTTTTTTACTGTTTCAGAGTGACTATATACCCCCCCCGCTCGACGGCATTTTTGGAGGAAAAAGTGGGCGGAGTTTGGTGGGTTGAGTGGTATCAGAATTTAAATACTATAGAGAGGATGATGGTGGTCGAGGTGTCGAAAAGGGGGTCGTATCAAATCCACCTTGGGGGAGGGGGGTCGTAAAAATTTTTCGAAAAGTAACAACGATAGGGTTGACCCTGGCGCTACGATGGTTGCAAAACCTCAACCATTTAAACCCTGACTGCATTTTGCGACAGAACTAGCGCAATCTCTGTTGGTAGAATTCCAACAAGTTTCTCCGCGGTGGGTGGAGAGCGCGGTTCTTACTCTTGGGCCTGATCATGGGGTTAGTCCGACTAAAAGGGAGCACACCGCAATGGGAAGTTCTGGGTCCAATCTACATGAATCATGTTAGCTCGTTGCACAAGCGCGACTAATGCAATAATCTCTACGGTCGCGCAACCACCGAATCCCGCTGCAACACTCTACATTCACGATTGATGTGGAGATTGGCGTTCTCTCTAGCGTCTTTGTCTTCACCGATCGCCCTGTTTCGCCGTCGTACCACATGCGACCTTCAAGAAGGTTAAGGCCTTGATTCCAGCGTTTCCAATCGATTTCTCTTGCTTTCCTTTCCACTTTTTTCATTTCGTTCCGCAGCTTACTATCATTACGAAGCGCTCTTGTGCACCAGTTTTATCACAGAGCTTGTCATCAAGAACTATCGCTTTGGACACTGTGCTCATCTTCGTACCACCTCATCTACGTAATCTTTATTCCTTCATTCCGGCTTTTAGAGTTACTCCATGCGTTTCCACGACGTTCAAAATGCTGATCAGTGAAATTTCAGGAGGCCATTGTTACTTCGAACACTTCATGATGTAGTTCTCTCAGTTCGGCGCCTTCCACAGCCGTAAAGGTAGAGAGTTAGAAGCTAGCCATATACTAGTATTAGGATGTCTCAAAAGTTCGTGCGTATTTTTTGGATCTCATGCCACAAGCTCCTTCAGCAAATTCTAAATATGTTCACGTAGGCTGTGGAGAGGGCACAACGTGCAGTAACTTATACCCGAATCATGCCCACCCTAGTCGCCTTCTTCGAGTTCAAAGTGAAAAAGAAAAGAGCTATGTTTTTCACGCTCTGACTCAAGAACTTCTACTGAGCCACAAACCGATCAAAGCCGAAGAACCATCTGCTTTGCGATACATCTCCTTGTCATTGCCAGCTATGAGGTAACAGAACGGACCAATTTTCTTTGCTCAGGAGTGCACAGTCATAGAAAACTCTCGTTCAGGGAGGCCATCACTCTCGTAATCTCTATGACTGACCCCTAACATATCAGATAATCAGCGCAGTAGACGAATTAAATAATAACATGGAGTAGGGTTCACGGCAGGACCCGCACAAAGCCCGATTATCAGTGCGCACCCAGTCCCCTGCAAAGGTTCGCAGACTAAACACCGTCCGCAACACCAGAGTACTTTTCAGTGTTGTTCGCTCAAACACATGAGTGGCCTTTAGCCCGGCAATGGGCCGCCGCAGTCAAAAATGATCACCTGATGGAGAAGATGCGACATCAAAAGTGTTATATCTAAAGTGACGGCCTAAACTCCCCCTGCAAATGACTGAAAATCAGAAGCATATTACATTGTGATAAAAAGTTTCATGACAACGGTCTACACCACAGAATTTATAGAGTCGATTAATAGCAACCCCAGGTGAAAAATGGAATAGTCACACAAGAGTAGTGTTCCATCCTTTCTTTACGTACTCGATCTCAATTACGGACATGTCTCATGTGCAGCTATGAAGTCAGCCATTTGCCCTTCTCAACCCAAAAAAAGGCGTTGCTTATCAAGCGAAATCGAGATACGTTTTTGAAAAAGAACGCGACTCTTACTCTTTTCAGCTCGAACTGCCAGCCTTGAGCTGGAGATTACGGAAGTTGCACACTATGGTTCGTCGTTCCGCAACAATCAGAGAAGTGATGTAGATAGAGACTGCATAATATGCTTCTAATTATTGTATATTGTTTGTGCATGTGCTCACCATCAAGTAGCTCTAAAAAATTCATAGAGAGGCGCGTACAACTCTAAACGCAATAAACTAGTAAAAAAATAAAGAGATCCTGGACTGCAATGGAAAATAAATTAAAGTTTAGCCCTCCTGTTAGGGTGCACTAGAGAACTAAAAAAAGAAAAACATCCATTCGCAGACACTTACATAATCGAGAAATGGAGACGCGTGAGAGCAGCTAAGGCGCTAATCGCTCGCAGATCAGATACCAACCAAATCTTCCAACTCCCGAGAACACCTGGTAATCAGAAAGAAAGTGAATAATTTCAAGTCGTATATAGTAAGTGAAAAATACCGTATGTTTGAGAGATCAAAGTAGAACTTATATAAGGAGTGGATGTTCTACGAATTACAGAGGTAGTCTTTGTGCGAGGTGTGCTTTTTAAAGTTCCCTAATAATTTGAGACCGCTATACTGTCCGAAGCAACAACAACAAACAACTGTTTAAAGAATTACTGACCTGATAACCGTGCAATTTTATCATTTCCTTGAATTTGTCCACAAGTAGACTATTCTCAGATCGCGCATAGTATCCAATATCTCCTGAATGGGATTTCATTTTTATAGATCATAGTCAAACTCACTCGCTTGCCACAAGGCTCAACAGAGAGAGAGAGAAAGAAAGAAAAAAGGAATCATGTTTGTGGATCTTCAGCAACTAACCGGCGAAAGGAGTAGAAGATAATAGCCACATTTTACTGTATTATGGCGGAAGAGTACCACTTTTCTTAACTCTTTGAGACACGTTTAATGAGATGAACGCTCGCTCGCAGTCCAGTCTCGCCCGTGGGCTGCCGGCGAGCGGCGGTTATTCGAACGTCTCTGTGTTAGTGGATCCTATATTCTGCCGTCGGATTCATTATTCTCATTCTCTGTGCATCATCGTTATGACACTTCGGTTTAGTGAGAACTCTTGTGGCAGAGTATGACTAGAAGAAATCGTGCCACCTTTGGTTATTTCTTTCGTCATTTCGCATGACTATCGATATCCGAGGCCTCCTTGTCGGTATCGATTGACCTACATTTTTTTGGTCTGCGACACTCTTGTGGCTGAAAGTGGTATATCTTTTTGAAGTGGTTTTTTTACTTCTTCTGTTTATAGCCACTATAGAAGGCGTGATACGGTTCTGGACAGGCGATATGCTTAATGAAACACCCTCTCTTCCGCGAAAACTTCAGGAAGGGCTGATGAAGAAGAGGCATCTCGAGTTCAAAACTTCCCCCGTCGGACATTCAATCCGCTGCTGATAAGCTCATCAAGGACGGAGCAATTTCCTTGCATATTCGTACAATCTTGGCCTTCCTGTCGTACGGTAGGAAAGAGTTGAAGGTAATTTTGAGAAGAATCTGTGAGTTGTCCACCCGTATTGATGCGATGTCTAAGGAAATTGAGGCATTGAAGGATGAAGACCTTGTTCTTCAAAAATCACTCGAAATTTGTAAAGCATCTTCACACAATCAATATTCTGACTGAGTCTCTTCCGATGAATTCCATTCTTCTTTTTCCAAGTACTTTTTTGCCACTCTAGTGTTGAGGCGAGCCCCTTAGCTTCGATATTTTCCTCTCGGTAAAGGGGTCTTCATAAACCTACCTCCCAAAAGGGGAGAGGGAGCAGATTCGTATCAAAAGGAAGGCTCATCTAAACAAAAGAGGTGATAAAACGATTTATGCCAATAATAAGGCTTCTACTCTGGCGGCACACTTCTATTTGTTCTTCTACAAACAAAAATGTAGATTTTCCTCGGACGTTGGAGGCTTCTCCGTGCTGTCTTCTTGCAACTACTCGCTCCCTTTTTAAAGCAACAATTCAAGATCGAATTCGCAAGGTAAAAAAGTTTGATAATGAAGTTATAGATGGCGAATTGACTGCTGATAGGAAAAAAGCGAAGAAAACCGGCAAAATTCTTGAACAGGGAATTCCCCTCTCCCCTTTTAAAATGAGGGAAGGGCGGTCGGACGAGTTGTCTGAATTAGCTTGCTTTTCTTGCAGGCTCGTGCCAGCAGGAAATGCGGCTACAATCGCATTCACCCTAATACAAATAGTGGAAAATGCAACACTACAACAAAAAAATACAATAATTCAATGATTTAAACAAGTAAAAGCAATCAAAAGACGCAGCATTGATTTCGAAACGCGGGATAGTTAGCAAGCAATCGCGCAAGGACCCGCATCCAAGCACACGCTCTTCACAGCCGCACGGAGGCGGCGTCTACCGAGGCTCGGTAGACCCGCCTTTTTCGAGGGACTTCGAGCCTTTCCAATTCATTTCAAAGGTAAGTTCTCAATCCGTGACACTTTTTATGCACTTTACTTGGGCTGGGGCGCGATTTCATACTTGGAACCGATTGATTTGAAACCTGGTTGGATTGTTGCTTTGAGAATATTGGCCATTTCCTATCTCGGATGTGGGATGGTAAATGTAGCATAGTTGTGCTTACGGAAACGTGGTTGTCTGATACTATTAGTACGGAATCCCTAGTCGGAGATTGGTGCATGCAATCTGGCGTTATTAGGTGCGACCGACGCAATAGGCATGGTGGTGGTGTTGCCTCCATTGTGAATAAAATCTGCACTCCTCGGCTTGTATTTGAGGAAACTGCGCCCGAGGCTCTATAACTTTTGTGCGCGGACCTCGACATAGACTACGCTATCGTTAGGACAGTAATATTCTATAGGACTCCTTGTGCACGGTTGCTGCATAAGCTCAGCTTTTGAAGGCAATCGGGGATTTGATGGCTATGAGATACTCGGTAATCCTGCTCGGTGATTTCAGTCTTCCCGAGATTTCGTGGCCTAGCAATGGGAGTCCAGTTCCCAGTAGTTCACGAGTGCGCGCTTTCACAAATTTCTGCCAAAGTCTTAGCCTCCACCAAATAGTTCTGAGATGCACACGGGGATCCGACGTCTAGACCTACTACTATCGGACAATGAAGAGGCTTATAAGGGATGCCGTTATTCAGTCACCGGTAGGGAACAGCAAACATGCTTCCGT